TTGGAAGATTCTCTTTTCTGTCATATGAAACCCACAGAAGTTGGAGTCCAGCCCGGGTATGGGGCTCTGGGCTTAAGACCTTCTGAAATTTGCTGTTCTACCTAAGAAAAATACTTATTTGAACTTGTCCCTTCCCCATGGGCAGCCATGATTTGTTTTGATTGCATCATCAGTCATCTGTTCAAATATGTGTCTCAGTGTCTTCTAAAGACACTTGCCCTTAAGTTGACAGTGGTCTTGGGCTGACATTATATATCAGTGAAACAATTTGAGAACCATAAAACATGATGAAAATAAGAGCAAGAGAATATTTTTATGTAGGCTTTAAATCAGTGGCTTGCACCCTTTTCTTTTTTCCCCCAAGTCAGCCAGGAGATGTTCTGTACTCCTTTCTGGTGCACTGACTCACAGCAACTCTGTGGGGGGTAGAAGAAGGAGACTACTGAAGTTGGAAAATACTTTCAATACCCCCTTTCTTTTTTTGAGAATCACCGTTCTATAAATATATCCTCCAGGGACTTGCCATAGAGAAACAGTGAGAATCACAGAGGGTCAATTATGACTCAGTAGATGCTTGTTAAGCACCTGTCCTGGGACTGTGTTAAGCACCAAGGGCATGTAAAGATAGATGGGAGGAGGCTCTGGCCAGGGAGAGGGAGAAGCATGTGCATAGGTACTAAGTACCACTCACTGTAAGTGTAAGACAGGAGGTGCTAAGTACCCCCCAGAGGGACAAATAAAGACTTCCTGCATTTCAAAGGAAGGACCGGTTTAGGGGTGGCTATGGAAGGGCTGCCTCCTCACACATGAAGGAGGGCCCGGAGGACCCTGGTAAGTTGGACCTGTTGCTTACAAATCACCCTTCTGTCTCCCCTCCCAGTGTCTCTTTAGTGTTTTGCCATTCATTCTCAGGCTCAAAATTACCTCTCTCTTTTCTACTTGTTTCTACTTAGAATAATTAAACATTTTTTATTGTGGTAAAACATATGTAACGTACAAGTTGCCATTCTAACCCTTTTTAAGTGTGAAGTACATTCACGGTGTTGTATAACCATCACCACCATCTAGTTCCAGAATTTTCGTCATCCTGAACTGAAAGTCTGTACCCGTTAAGCAATAACACTCGTTCCTCCTCCCCCTGCCCAGCCCCCAGTAACCTTTCTCCTGCTTTCTGTCTCTGTGAATTTGCTGATTGCAGGTGCCTCATAGAGATCATGCAATATTTGTCCTGTGCTTCATCCATGTTGTGGCATGTATCTAAATTTCCTTCTTTCTGAAGGTTGGAAAATATTCCATTGTTTGTATAGACCATATTTTGTTGATCCATTCATCTGCTGATGGAAATCTGGGTTCGAATCCCGGGCTTTTAAAGCATTGTGCGTTGTGGCTTGTCATCATCGGTGTCACCTGTTCCCTATGTCTAGACTTGAACACCCACGCATGCCTGGGCTGATGTGCTTGGTGCTTGAGGTCCATGTGCTTTGGCTTCAGACCCAGGCGCTCGTCCTGTTCTCATGTGGAAGAAGGGCAGGGCATTTGACTGCTACACAGTTTCCTGGTCTTTGAGCTGTAGGCAGTAACAACCCCGTGCAGTAGGGACTGTGATGAGAACGCATTTAGTGCTTTGCACGGTCACTTAGCACAGCACCTGACACCTGGCGAGTGCTTAAGCCACAGTGGCTCCTAAATCATAGCTAAGCCAATTTCTGGGAAGTCTTCCTTCCCCTCTCCTATCCGCTTGAGCCCTGTTGTTTGTTCCAGATTAATGTGCAAAAATGTGAGCCCTGGGGTCAGGGGGCACTTGTGGTAGCCTTTTGTCTGTTCCCGTAGCCTGAAGGATAGCTCCTTTTCCTAGATGATACTCATTTGATCATTAGCTCAGCTGTGCCTTCTCCATGCAGCTCTCCCTGAGAGCCAACGCTCTGTTTCAGAATTCCTCTCGTACTTACTGCTGCTTTCTCTACTATTTTGTGTATACATTTATGGTATGTCTTTTAATTCCAAGCCTCATGAGTGGGGTCTGAAAGTTTTTCCTTAGTTTGTACCCCCATCTGAATACGAAAAATTCTTCTGCCCCAATAAAAGATGGAAGTGTCCCCCAAATTCTCCTTCAGTCTTCCTATTAAAGTCTTACCAAGGCTGTTGTATTACGGGGTGCTCTCTCAGCCCCTGTATTTTGGACAGAATCAGGGAGAGAAGGTACCTTGTCCTGAAACCATCTCTGCCAGTCCTAGTCTTAGGTCCTTCTAAAGGTCAACTAGCTGAATTAGACTTTTGCTAAGGCAAATTGAATGCTAGCTGGGTAATTACTTTTTAGAGTTTGACCTTACAAAAGCAAAAGTTGGCTGTTATTGTAAAAAGTGCATTTAAAAAGCAATAAAGTGTGAAGTTTTAGTTAGATGAATGTGGATCCACAGGACAAAATTTCTACTGTTCTGTCATTCAAATGTGTTGTGACTTGCGAGAATTTTATCACTAGTAGCACATATACGACTTCAAAAACTGCTTCACCTTCAGCAACTTCAATGGAAGAGGAAAATGTGAAGACACACCTCAGAAATCTTAGGGGACTCAACAAGTGGCTTTAGCGATGCCCCAAACCCTATTTGGAGATGCATGTTGAAAGAATTCAAATAACATATTAATGAAATCTGAATTTGAAACAGTGTTTCTAAAGTAATTTAGTTCTTCGTATGACTTGAATATATGTGTAATTTAATGATTATAGAAACTGCTGTATTTGACCCCGCATCCTAAACATTTATCTGTTCGAATTGGACACATCGTGTTTGAGATCTCTTTATGTTGGGGCACATATATGATACATGTGATCGATGTGAACGGGTGAGGTATGGTCTCATATTGCTGGTTAAAAGTTAGTGTCGCTTTACACTTGCTCTTAAAAGCTTTGTGTGTCACTCTCTCTGATAACTTTAAGGGGATGGGCAGGGCGTGGTTTAAGTTGGACTTGAATCTTTCAATAAATCAGATTTATAAAATCAAGGCATCTGCTTTGTTTCTCCTTTTTAAATCTTTTGGAAATTCCATTGGTAATCTATAAGATCACTTTAATGAAAATTAAGTGGGTTTACGATTTATTATACTTAATTGGGAAGAGAAAGCCCCAAGGCGGTGGGTGGGAATAGCCAACGCCTGTGGAACCACTTGCGTGTTTTCTGCATGGGATCCCAAAGTTACCCCAGACCCTTCTCCTCATGCTCAGAGTGGGCAGTGACCACAGTCAGGGATCTGTGGGATTTTGGACAGTGGCTTCTGCTTTCCTCTCTAGCTGGGAGACTGGCTTCTCTTTTGAGCTGCTGTAACCTCCCTCTCTAGGGACAGCCTGGCTGCTCTTTTGGTTCAAGAGGCAATGGCTTAAGCAAATCTAACTTTAGGGAATTTGCCAAGTCAGGGTTAAGGAGCACGAATCCAGCGGGTTTGGAGTGCTGCTTTGAAAGAACAGCAAATGGCCTGGCTGCTGCTCTCTTGTTTCTCCCTGAAGCCTGAGCTCTGCCCAGCTAGTGAAGGACAAAGGGGGCGCTTTCTGCCTCTGTAAATAACCTATTGTACAAGGGGAGGAGGCGGGGCACGGAATGGCAGCATCTCGCCAGCTTGGGTTGCCGCATTAAGGAAAGATGTCAGGCTTTCTTAATTTGCCATTGCTGGGCAAGGGTGCTATTTATGTGGGTTTGTTTGAGGACTGCATTCCTAGTGAAGTATTTCATCAAACTGCCATTATTCATCTTGATGAAAGCTGAGGAACTTTAGAAGGAGAGGGACATTCAGATCACCCGCATTTTGGTTTCTAAATGATGTGAAAAGAATACAATGTTAATGTAAGTAAAAGTTTGCAGAATTGCCGGGGCTGTATGTGTGTGTGGTATGTGTGTCCCCAAGAGAACGATGTCCCTGTGAGTCACCTCTGGCCCTGCGCCACTATTTTCATGGTACAAATAAAATGGTGAAGAGGTGAACCTTTGTGTATAGTGGGCCTTGAACCCACGTGTTCAGAGGCTAGGGTGATGGGATAAATGCTAACATTTATGTAAGACGTTGAGCATTTAGATGGATTTCAACACGGAGCTCTCATAATACCTGGGAGTATGAGAACTGGAAAGACTTTAGAAACCTGACCTCATGGTTCCTAACCTGGGTTGGGCTGAAGGGGACTTGTGATAATATTGTGTATTCTCGGGAGATGGGGTCAGTGACTTAGCATAGTTAAGAATTATTAGCATAGGTTGGATTTAAAGTCACATTGGTTGGTGTCCCGTTCTTGACTAACATCTTGGGGAAGGCTTATCAGTCTCTGGCCTTGGCTTCTTCCTTATCAGTTTGCTTTTGTGGTGTTCAGATAAGACGTTGGATATGAAAGCCTTTCCAAAACACTAAGTCAACGCTAATTGCATTTTTACTTCTTCTATCCAAAGTCTGGGTAGATGGGTACCAGGATTTCTGTTTTCTGATAGTCATGCCGTTCAGTTTCTGTCACCCTGTCTCTCCATGCCTGTCTCTACTCAGGTCTATTTAAAGGAATCTTCCGCGCTGGCTCTTTGCACTGGGCTTGTGCCAGTGTAAAGTGCCTACGCTCGGTAGGCCTCGGCCGTTGTTACCTTCCCTGTCATTCTGTGGTTCAGCTTTATAGGAAATTCAGAAAACCCAGCTGAGCAAACCCATTTTCTGTGTGTGGGGAGGAGGGTGCACGGGAGTGGCTGTGGAGGAAGGAGAAGCCGGCTGGCAGTAAGCCTCGCGTGTTCCTGGCTGGGAAATACTGGCTTCTTAAGCCTTTAAGCCAATCGAATCATATTTTTGGCAAACAGCAGCATGATTTATATGCCCGGTCTATAAATTTCCTTAGATATTTATGTGGAGATTTGATTTTGAAAGAATAAAGAAATATTCAAACCAGAACACTGTTAGCAAGGGTGTAAGTCTTAATCCTTCTTAGAGACCCCTTAGCCTAATGCTTATGTTCAATACAGCATTGAGAGGCTACTTACTGTGCCTGATTCTCTTCGGATGTAGGTCTGCCTCCAGTCTAAATACCCCAACTGCCTTTTCCTTCATAGCATTAAATAGAAGGGAAAAGACTTATAATGCTGTCAGTGTCGTGGGGAAGAGCTGTTCTTCGCACAGATCTAAATGAGCTATTGTCTTCACTTTTTGTGCATAGACTACAGTTTTCCTGTGTGTAGTGTTTATCAGTTTGCTCAGTGAGGTTGGTTTACAGCTTGTTACCTGGCTGCCATCTAAGAGGCATGAATTAAACTGCTGTCGTTTGTCATTATTACCCACTAAATATAGAAATTTGGCTGGATTCACACCCTTAGTATTACAGATTAGTATCTAATGAAATGCTCTTGCATACATGCTACTAAATTTATAATTTCCTGAAGTTTTTAAAAAAGTGTTCTTTCTTAGACTTTCTTGATATAATGCAGTTTATAGCATGGCTACTGCTGATGCTTAAAATAAACAAATTAATCACCTGTGTCTGTGTGTGTTTGTTTATAGAGGAATTATTTAATATTCTCACTCAGGGATGTGATTCTGTTGAACATCGCCTTCAAGTTCACACAGTCTTGGTCATATGGGAGTTACTGTAGGAGTTTTGGGGAGAGAAGAGAGAAAGGCATGGGAGTGTGTGTAAGGGGCGAGTGCTGCAGGGTGATGAAGACAACTCGAGGTGGAAGGATTTGAGGGCAAGGCAAGTTTGCGCATTGTATTCCGAAGGCTGAGTTGCAATACTGTTAATGAAATCTGACCACTCAGTGTCAATAGGACATGGACTTGATTTGTCTGCTTCTCCCACCTGGTGTACATCCCTTCCTCAGAAAGGCCTTCCCCAGTGCCTTGCAGACATTGCCTGTTTAATTTTGTCTTTTCCCTGCTAGAAGGTTAACCCATTGAAAGCCTAGACCAGGTCATCAGCACTGTCTTTACAGGGCCTCGCCAAAGCCTGGCTCACGCTGGGCGCTCAGATATGCAGAGTGATGGGAGTAACTCAATTCCTGTGTATTCATCTAGAATAAATTTGCTGTCAGCATGTTCCAGGCAGTCTGTTTCTTTCTTGGTATGCCTTACCTTGGTTAGACGCACCACCTGGCATCCAATCTTTCGTTTCAGTGTTTTAAAAAATATATGCCCATTGTCTCTTATTGGGAAGCTGAGCAGAAAGAAAACAGTGTCTGTTTTCAGAACTGGTCTTGGCAGCAGCACGCACTGATGCCTGTCCCTGCCCATGGGTGGAGCAGTGGGGTGACTCGGCTGCTGGCTGCCCATTGGCCCATCCTCCACCCTCTGCTCTTCTGAGAAGTCAAGTATGGATTTTGCCTGCTAGTTACCTTTAGCCCAGTGGGCAGCAGCGTGGGTCTCGGCATGTGACTCATGCCCTGAGAGACCTTGATAGGCCAGGGGAGCCCGGCTGAGCCTTGCTAACCCCACCCCGCCCCCAGGCTCACCACCCTCTTCTGTGTCTGCAGTGGGGTATCACCTAGCACTCAGCTGTTGGTAGCACAGATGGTGAGTGGTTTTGTAAGTGCTGGTGCCTTCTCTCCAAAATGATGGCCTGAAGAAATCTGCTTATCACTTCTTTCTTTGCTGTCATGGTAAACCTTGAAATTGTGCGTGTGTGTGTGTGTGTACACTTACACGGATTCATTGTAGCAGAGATTGAATGAGCAGAGCAAATGCATTATGTTGGTTTCAATAGTATTAATGGCCTGTAAAACAGGAGCCATTAAATTTAAAATTCAATTTCATTTAAATTTAAATTTTAGCAGAAAATTTATATATTTTAACAAAGAAAAATATTTTCAGTTTTGTTACTTAGCTATTAAAAACAATATTTAGTAAGTGGCTCACAAATAACATGTATACTAATAGTTACAATGTTAACACTTGTTGCCTTGGCAGGGCGTTTTTGAGAAAAGTCTTTCAGATCATTTACTATTATTTTCTTCCCTTTGCTGTCAAACTTTAGAGCATTTGTTCATCAGTAATTTTTTAATTAAAATTATTTATTATCTGGACTGCACCTTTTTAATACATGAATTGTCTGTGACATTCTGTTTGGGGCTTTGGTACATATGTGTCAGGTTACTGTAATTTTCTTCTGCGTGTCTTGGCTTCTTCATTTTGTCTGAACACTCCTCGTGGGCAGTGTTCTTACTGCATGCCTTAATTGTTCTGCACTCAGGACTAATCCCAGAGCATTGGTAGAGGAAAGAATCATAACCTCTAACATTTTTGAGCACTTTCTAGTGTGTGCGAGATCATCCTGACCTCTTTATATGAGTCTTTTAGCAGTCAGAAAAGCCCTGCGATAGATAAGGTGCTATTTCTGTCTCCATTTATAGATGTGGAAACTGAGGCACAAAGAGGAGGGGTCATTTGTCCCAAATCGTATAGTTCATAGGCTGGAGAGGCAGAATTTGGCTCTAGCATCTAGGATCTTTTTTTTTTTTGAGACAGAGTCTCACTCTGTTGCCCAAGCTGGAGTACAGTAGTGCGATCCCAGCTCACTGCAACCTCCATCTCCTGGGTTCACGCAATTCTCCTGCCTCAGCCTCCTGAGTAGCTGGGATTACAGGTGCCTGCTACCACGGCTGGCTAATTTTTGCATTTTTTGTAGAGAGGGGGTTTCACCATGTTGGTCAGGCTGATCTCCAACTCCTGACCTTAAGTGATCCGCCCGTCTCGTCCTCCCACAGTGTTGGAATTACAGGCATGAGCCACTGCACCTGGCCGCATCTGGAATTGTAAATACTATTCTGTACTTTCTCTCAAACACTGTGCTGTATTCCCTGTTTAGATATCTGGTGGTTAGTTTAATATTTATGCACATCAATTTATCTGTTTGTTTCTTTTTGATATAATGTCTTGGGGAATGTAAAAGAAACTGATCTTACCAGAATAGCCAACGATGGACTTCCCAGCATTGGTATTGCCACTTTTGTGGTTTGAAGAGTACAAGAAGGCGAAATTTCGATTGGTCTGTTTAACCGGTGTGGGAACTTGTTCTGAGATCTGTTAGAAGAAATAGAAACTCATGGCCCTTAGGGGGTTTGGGCTCGTTCTTTCCCTTCACACATATTCCCATTAGCCTTGATAATGAGAGTCGGGTGTTTCTGATTAGGTGGATGAAAGCAGAGACATAATATCAAAGAAGAAAATAGAAAGTTCAGTCTATTTATTTGAGTTTTTATGGGAAGAATTCTTTGTGAGTAAAACATTTTTGATATGGTTAATGAAAGGAAGATAATGGGTTTTTTTTCAATACAAGATAATGGAGAAATAGAATGAAAATGAAATCCTAAAGTGTTTTTTAAAAAGTGGCACTTGACAGCCAGGAAAAGACCTGGACCATTCTACTTTGGGTTTAATGCCTGGACCGGCCGGCCGCCTACCCAGTTACATGGCTGGCCTTTGGGCATTCTGGAGTTCTGGAGAGGAGTCCTGCTTCCCTGGAATGAACATGACATTCTTCTCTTCCAACAGAATTCAGCTTAGAGAACCGTCAGCACAGGACAATGCAAGCCCACGAGCTGTTCCGGTACTTTCGAATGCCAGAGCTGGTTGACTTCCGACAGTACGTGCGCACTCTTCCCACCAACACGCTCATGGGCTTCGGAGCCTTTGCGGCACTCACCACTTTCTGGTACGCCACGAGACCCAGAGCCCTGAAGCCACCATGTGACCTCTCCATGCAGTCGGTGGAAGTGGCGGTGAGTGGAGGGCCCAGCCTGTCTCATGTGTTTTCTCTGCATTTCTCCAGATGAGTTAAGCCCTGTTGAATGTGATCTCGATCAAGATCACAATCACAATCACAATCAAATATTTGTTTGTGAGGGCACTTTAGAAATGGAAATGTCCTAAACAAATTATTGATGGTAGTAAACAGAGGTACAGGGCAAAATATAGGCACAAGGACAGATGAGAGGTGTTAGTTGGGCGTCTACCTCGGGTCACATGGAAGCTCATTCTGGAAATCGCATTGAGTTTCTACCACTGTGGTCAGCCCAGAGGATTCCACAAGGCAAAAGACAGCACAGGGCTCCTGTTCTCACGGGGGTTAGATTCTGCCAGGAATGAGAGTTATCAAACAAATGTTAGCAAAAGAGTGTTTGCACTCATGGTGCATCTCATACTTAGAACACATCCTCAGGCTGCTGAAAGGGACTTTGGGATTTCAGATAGAATAGGGCTGGAGTAAGAACTTGCCAGAAGAACATGGCTGCGGAATTCAGGGTAGGACAACGCTTAAGAGGCATGTCTGGCTGGGTTGCTGAGTGCTGTGGTTGTGTGTGACTTTGGCAAACTGGAGACTGTGTACTCTTGTTAGGAAAATGAAACCGGAACGCAGGTGATTAGGGCTTAATAGGTGGGATGGCATAGGGAAACCTGAGGATCTTTTGAGGAAGAGTCTTTCTTAGTGCTCCTGCTCTCCCCGCCTTCCCTAGTGAGAGAGGCGGGGTATGAAGATGAGGAGGCCGCATGCTCACTAGTACTTCTACTCCTCACTGTTCTTTGCTCTTCTCTGTGGTCACTTACTTTCCCCTACCCAAGTCAGTCAGCCTTCCGTGTTTCCCGTGTTCAGCAGAAGAACGTTGTGAAACACAGGGTCCTCCCATTTACTGCTGCCAGATGTAAGAGATGGAGGGCCTTCCCCACCCTCCGGGGCTGACCCCTGCAAGGGGAGTGTGTGCCCTTCTACATGAAGTCCTGGCTGGAGTCAGCGTTTCGTTATTTAGAGGATTCTAGGTCTTTGTTTTATTTTAGACAAGTTCTTGGATTCATGAATGTGAAACTCTTAAAATATATAAAAGATTATTCAGTCTAATTCATGCCAAAATATAAATATAGAATGACTGAACTACTGCTGAGAAAAGTTAACTTTCTACTTGATTTCTATTTAGAAGGTCAGGGTACCTTAATGTTTCACCTCAGCTAATCGCATACCAGTAATGAGTGGAATCTCCCTTTCCTTAAGGGATTTGTGTGAGGTTCTGGCTTTCCTTATCTCCTGGCAGAGCACGTGATGTGTCACGGCAGCGCTGCCATCTCTATGAAGAGTTGTTGGCAAGTGCGGCGTTAAGACATGTATAATTTAGCAGTAATTATAAGAAATGAGTAATTCCTATTATATGAGAAATTGTGAAGGCACTTAACATGTGATTTTAAGACT